GCAGTGGCTGTATTCCCCCTGCCAGCAGGAAGTTTTCCAAGCTCCCAGGCTTGGCATTCAAGGCTGCCTATGCTTTGGCCTGGGCGACTCCCCCTAGAGCACGCGCAGTGAGCAGCGCCGTCTCTGTGGTAATCTATAAAGAACAGAAATGTACCGGCTTGTGGTTCTGGAGGCTGGGAAGTCCAAGACGGAGGGACTGGCACCTGGTAAAGGCCTTTATTCCATGGCAGAAGGCCAAAGGGGTGAAAGAGAGCAAGAGGGGGCCAAACTCATGCCCTTGTGAGGAACCTGTCCCTGCCATCACAACACTGATCATTCCCGAGGGTGGTGCCCCCATGACCCGGACGCCTCCATTAGGCCCCACATTTGCACACACCACACGGGGAATCAAGTGTCCAACATGTGAGTTTGGGGGACACACTCACGCTGGACCAGGCTCTTCATCTGTGAAATGGGAACACGGCAGCACTCCCTGGTAAGTTAATGAGGATGGACCCAGACAATCTCTGTGGCGTGCTGAGAAGAGTACCCGGCCTGTGGGCCTTGCAGGCTGGCCGCTCTCCCCGGAGCATGCGTGTGCCCGGCCCACACATGCCATCCCGCATAGACCACGTCTGGCCTCCAGGCTGGCGGTCACGACCTCTGTCGCATCTCTGCTCAGCCACAAGCTCCCCAAAGGCAGCAGGAGCCTCCTCACGCTGAGCTCTGCAGCCACACCTGGTAGTGGTGAGAGCAGTCGCGTCTATGGAGCACTTACGGTAGACTGGACACCGCGTCCGGTGCCGAACGCCCACGGCACACTTCATTTCACGGTGCTCACGATGGACAGACACCATCCTATTTTACACAAAAGGAAACGGAGGCCGAAAGAATGGAACTGGACAGCTCCTGAACTGTGGAGCCAAGATTTGAACCAGCTCCTTTGACCCTAACTCCAAAGCAGAGCTTTTCTCTGCTATGCGATTAAAGCCTCCTGGGCATCATGTATTGCACGCCTGCTAAGGGTCAGGTGCTATTCGAAGCACTCGAGGTCCTTGAAGTCGTTGAATTGGCCCTGCTTTGTGGGAACTGTTTTTGTTTGTTTGATTGTTTTGTTGTTGTTGTTGTTTTGGGAGAGGTTTTGGCTACAGGGCGCGTGTGCTCGCCAGACAGACAGAGAGAGACAGAGAGATACAAAGCGAGAAATCACCCCCCAGGGGGAATGGCCATGCCACAATCCCTTCTCCTCCATTCTCCTCTCAGGATCTTGGGCACGCACACACATGCACCTGGTGTGAGTTTAAGCCACCGGGTCCGGAACTTGAACCACATTCGGCTACATGGGAGTTTAGTTACATAGCCATTTACGCTAACTGCTGGTCCAGGGAACTGTTTTTACCTTCATTGTACAGTTGAGGAAACTGAGGCAAAGAGAGACTAAGTGACAAATCCAAGGCTGCACAAGGTCAGGATTTGAACCCTTGACTGCAGAGTCTGAGCTCCGAACCTCTGCCCTGAGGGTGAGGAATAAACCTGACACGAAGGGACCTCCTCTGTGCACAGGCTCTTGTGGTCCTGGTGGCCTGAGAGTTCATGAGGGGTGCACGGACTGAGTGGAGAGGTTGGTGGTAGGTCAGGGTCTGTTTCCTGAGCTCAGCAGCCCCTGCATGGCCTCTCCTGAGTGGCCCCTGCATGCCTGTGTCATCTTTGGGATGCGTCACCTTCCAGGGAACCTGGATGTCCTCCAGCCATGCCCCACGAGATCCTTTCAGTCCCAGACAAAGGTGCTTTTTTGGACGCTAAGCCCAGGCGATCTCCCTGGCGCCAGGGTTGCATTAATCCTCTCGGGGAGGCTGGAGCAGGCAGGGGACAAGCCAGCCTCATGGCCACCAGGGCCTGGCCACCTGCAGGCTGAGGGCAGGCACAGAGCCTTGGGTGACTGGCAATTCCCACCTCCTTGTATACACTGCCCTCTACAGCTCACGGTGTGCTCTCTCTGGGTGGAGAAAAGCTCTCTTTGCATTTGATTTCTACTTTCAACAGTGATATATTTGTTTAACAAGAATTTATTTCACTCTTACTAAATACCAGGTAATGGAGAACCACAAAGATTTTTAACCAGAAAGGTCCAGGAGTCGATGTACAGAGACAAGCAGCATCATTTTGAGATATTGTTTCCGGCTTCCCCATTTTACAGAGGTGGTGACTGAGGCTCAGAGAAGGAAAGTCATCCGCAGGTGTTTACGTGTGGAGCAGGCCAGGTGGAACACGCCCACACAGTGGTTGCTTCCATCGGGTAGCAAAGGGGACTTGCTGGGCTCTCATGCATCTCCAGGCCCTGGGCATTTCCTACATAATCCTCGAAGTCCTGCAGGAAGATGTGATTATGCCCATTTTGCAGGTGGTCAGGCCGAGGCCAGGCAGGAGAAGGGATTGCCCAGGCTGAAAGGGAAGGTGGTGTGGGAACGTAGATGTGTGTGACTTGGGGCCTGGGGAGCCCTTCCAGCCCCCACAGGTGATCAGGTGGCCTAGGGCTAGGGCTTCTCAGGCTCCTCAGGCCTCTCAGACTTGCTGCCATGTGGAAGCAACAGGGACCCAAGGTGATGAGGACAAAATACCACTCACTGAGTCCCACCGTGTGCTGGGGCCTACTGTGTTCTCAGAGCTTTGCCGGCCATCTGATGACAAGGGGACAGAGTTCAGATTCAGCCACCAATCCAGTGCCTGCACTTGAAACTGTCACAGCCATGTGCCCCCCTCCAGTGGGAAGACCAGACCCAGACAGGCTGGCCCAGGGGCATGGAAGGCAGTGGCAATGTTGCCCAGCTCTGCAGGACTTGCTGTCAATGACACCTGCCTTCGGAGCCCTCTGCCTCCAGGGATGAGGAGGAAGCATATTCCTGGGGAATTTGGGGCAACACACATTTATTTCCAGCCTGACTTGACAGCAGGGCGGGCTGGAGAAAGAGATGTCCCTTAACCTCTCAGAATTAGCAAGTGGACAGGAGGGGAGGGACGGAGACGTGTTGTGGATTAATTATGGAGAGAGGACCTGGGCAGCGGAGTGTGGAGGTCTCAGAGCTCCTGGCCCAGTGGTGAGGAAGAGATCCATGCACTCATTCATTCATTCACTACCCTGGCATCCTGCCTGCGCTAGCCTAGGAGTGGGGCACACACCTGGTGGCACCTCGCCGTGGGCTCCAGGGGTGCCTGGATAGTCCAGAGGACGGGTCGGGGCTACAGAAGCTTTCCAAACAGCTGGCCTCTTGAGCAGTGGACTCTGGAGAGGACTGCGTAGTCAGAGGGATTGCACGTGCAAAGGCCAGGGTGCAAGGAGGCCAGAGGGCGATGAGAAGGGGATGGAAAACTGGGCAGTTCCGTGGGAGGAGAGGAACAGGGTGTGAGTGTGGAAGGCCTTGAATACTAGGGCACAGATCTGGGCTGTGTTCCATGGCAGTGTCTGCCTCTGGGGAGTGGGTCCAAGGAATGACGGGAAAAGGGCAGGAGGGAAATTTCTGGGGTAATGGAAACACTCTATGTTGTGATAGGGGTGTGGGCTATAGGCCGCATAGAATTGCCCGACTCAGCAATTAAACACTGAAGATTCATACATTTCGCTGTGTCTTGACTTACAATCTAAAGAAGAGACATCATCGGGCACGCATGCTGGCGTGGCTAATGGGGAGGATGCTGGCGACTGCAACTAATTTTGAAATGCGTAGCACTGCAAGGTAGACTGATGGGCACTGGACAACCATGTGGCTAAGCAAATAGAATGGGGTGGGAATGCTAAATGAGGCTGGTGGGTATCGGGTCGCAAGTATGTGGGTGGGCACACCAGTCTTTCAATGTTGCTGCATGAATAGAGCTTTCGTCATATTTTTTTTTTTTCGCTATAGGGCGTGTGTGCTCGCCAGACAGAGACATAGAGACAGAAAGCGAGAAATCACCCCCCAGGGGGAATGGTCACGCCGCACTCCCTTCTCCTCCATTTTCCTCTCGGGATCTTGGGCACGCATGCACATGCACCTGGCGTGAGTTTTAAGCCACCGGGTCTGGGACGCGAACTGCGGTCGACTACGTGGGAGTCCAGTGACATAGCCATTATGCTAACTGCTGGTTCCCTCGTCATAAGATATTCAAACAGAATCTTCTGTAGGTCAAAAAAAAAATCCTGGGACCAGTGGATGGTGTAATGGCTATGTCGCTGGACTCCCATGTAGTCGGCTGCGGTTCGAGTCTTGGACCCAGCTTAAACTCACGCCGGGCGTGTTTGTGTGCGTGCCCAAGATCCCGAGAGGAAAATGGAGGAGGAGTTGTGGCATGGCCATCCCCTCTAGGGGGTGATTTCTCGCTTTCTGTCTCTCTGTCTCTGTCTTTCTGGGGATCATACGCGCCCTGTAGCAAAAACCTCTCCCCCCACAAAAAAAAAAAAAAAAAATCCACCTGCACTGGTCCTGGGGTTGCAAGCTGGGTACTGTTCATACCCCGGGAACAGATGGAGGCTCAGAGAAGGGAAGCAGCTGGATCAAGGTCACACAGGGAGCCTGGGGCTGAGCAGGGTTTGAACTCGGGTCTCCCCTGATGCCGAGTCCAGTTTGGGGAACCTCTCGTCTGCCTAGACAGACTGGAATGGACAGGGCCTGTCCCAGAGCTAAAACCAGAGGCATGTGGAAGTGTTTCCTGTTCTCCCATGGGGTGGGGGTTAGCTGGGGTCTCCAGGACTGTGCCCGGACCAGGGCCTGATAAACCCCAGCTCATGTGACACCATCCGGGCTGAGCACAGTCCTTGGAATTAGCCACAAACCGCAAACCCTTGTGGTTTTGGGGCTCGGTGCCTGATATGCAGAGCAGATCTGAATTCCGGTCTCTTGTAATTACACGGTGTTTCCCTCCCTGGGTCTAGGCTCAGACTCCGCTGCTATATAAGCCTCCTCTGTGACCAGGCTCATCCCAAAGCAGAGGGCCCGGTCTATGGGACCTCTCTGGATTGAGCTGCAGGAACCTCCTGGGGGTAAGAGGGAGCCCTTCTTATTCATCATCTAGCTGGTGGGGGTGGAGGAGGCTGGGGAGGTGAGGAGGAGAGAGCCCTAGACTGGAGACCTGTGGAGTCACTCAGTGACCTCAGAGGTCTTGCCTATAACACGGCCTAGGCAGGAGAAGCTCTTCGAGATCAGTGAGAGGCCCGAGTCATGCCAGTTACACGCGTGAGCAGAGCTGTGCTTGTCCCTCCCAGGGATGCTGGCTAACACCTGGGATCATGGCTACCTTCCTGAGGCTCAGAGGCTCGCCAGTGCCCACGATCCCTCCATTGGTGTCCACCCTCTTTGCTAAAGGGACCTGCTCCCTCTCTGAACACAGTTCTCAGAATAGCAAGGTTGGAATGAGGTGAGGAAGCCAGAATACAAAGTCCTGCAGACACCTGTCCTTCACATTCTAGGATCAACAAGTGCCTCCAATACTCTCCTGGGAGCAGCTGGGAATGGGGAAGGAACTTGGGAGCGTTGTGAACTTCAAGAGAAGTGGGGAAAGGCAAAGAGAAGAGAGTGCATACGTAGGGGTCAGCTAAAGCCAGCTATTTCAGTTTGGCCCAGATGAGAGGCCACGTTCTGCCCTGATTCTCTGAGGCTGGTGAATGAGAGAGTGGGCGAGGGCACAGGGGCCGGAAAGAAAGTTTCCCGGAGGGAGGCCAGCTCATCCACAAACACGTATGTCACCTCTCCAATCTCACAACATTCCCCACGCCCTCCTTGGGGGTCTGAAATATTAGTCCCAAGACAACAACAATAGCTGCTGTTTATTGAGTGTCTACTCTGTTCTGGATACGACGTGTTAACAGTTAGGAAGCAGAGGTCCGAAAGGTAAGGTATCTTGCCTAAGGATTAGAACCTCGATAACTCTGCTCCAGAGCCCTTCATTGTAGTCACGTGGTACAGAACTGACGCCTCCAAAGTGCTGGCTGGATGTAGAGAAGAGGGCTCCATGGCTGTGTTGGAGGGTGTGGACTGCTAGAGGGGTGGATGGATGGACAGAAAGGGAGAATGAGTAGACAATGGATGTGTGGGTGGGTGGGTGGAGAGATGGGCAGACACTCACAAGTTCCCCACAGCCTGCCTGGTACCAATCTGCCACCTATGTTAGAATCCTCCTTACCCAGCCCCTGACGCTTGACTTGTAGACCCCATCCTGGGAGGTCATCAGACATCCATTCTCGGGGGCAGGGTGGTTAATGGGTCTGTGTTGTGTCACCGGATTCATTTCATTTGGAAAAGTTCTCAGCGTGGTGTCAGGATTTCTGGGCCCTGCCGCACTGTGTGGCCTTGGTCAGCATACCCAGGCTCTGGGTCTGCAGACCCTGGGGGCAGAGGTGGTGGTTGGTGGGGGCAGGTGTGTGGGTGTTGCCTAGCGCCACCTTCTGTCCAGGAAGGCGATGCCCACCAGGGCCATGTAATGAGCAGTCTCTTCTGCAGGGAAGTAGCGCCAGCATGTGGACTGCGTGGTGTGTGGCTGCTCTGTCTGTGACAGCTGTGTGTGGCAATCGCCAAGAGACGAACACGGTCCTCAGGGTTACCAAAGAAGTGCTGAGCAACGGTGAGTCCAGCCCCGATGGTGGGGGGGAAGTGGTACAGAGCGGGCAGGGTGGGAAGGAGGCACAGAGCAGGCAGGGCGGGAAGGAGGCACGGAGTGAGCAGGGCAGGAAGGAGGCATGAAGTGAGCAGGGCAGGAAGGTGGCATAGAGCAGGCAGGGCGAGAAGGAGGCACAGAGCAGGCAGGGTGGGAAGGAGGCATGAAGTGAGCAGGGCAGGCCAGTCAACCATGCAGTTCCCTCCTCTCCTGCTGCAGATCCCGCATCAGCCATTCCGTGGCTGGGTGACCTCCCTGTCTGGGCCTTTGTTTTCTCTCTTCCTTTCGTCTCCCATTTTCTGAGTACCCGCTATGTGCCAGGCACCGTGCTGGGGACTTGATGCTCTTTCTATTGAGTTAGTAGAGAGCAGTGATGAAGAACATGGGCCCTTAGGTCAGTCTTCCTGGGGTTCAAATCCTAACTATGAGTTAAAGTCCATGGCTTGAGTTCACCCCCTGTTTTGTTATCTGTGAAATGGGAGTAGTTATGGCCCTCCTTTTGGAGAGCTGATAGGAGAATGCAATGAAGTGCACTTTTGAAAACTTAGCACAGTTATCAGTACACAGAGGGCCCTCAAAAAGTGGGAGCTGTCATTATTCCTGCCTCTGTTCTTAGAGGTTCCCTTTTTTTTTGAGAGGTTTTTGCTATAGGGCGTGTATGCTCACCAGACAGACAGAGAGAGACATAGAGACAGAAAGTGAGAAATCACCCCCCAGGGGGGATGGTCACGCCGCAGTCCCTTCTCCTCCATTCTCCTCTCGGGATCTTGGGCACGCACGCACACGTGCCACCGGGTCCAGGACTCGAACCATGGTCAGTTACATGGGAGTCCAGCAACATAGCCATTACACTAACTGCTCATCCCTAGAGGTTCCCTTTTATCATCTGGGAAATGAGAATACATTCCTGCCCCAATCCCCATCCAAGGCTGTCATGAGCATGGAAAACGGAATTATTTCCTGAGTGGTTTCTGAGTACCTCTCAGGCTCAATGTTTCTATCCATCAAAGGGCACAATTATTCTGGCCTTGAATCCCCCCCACCCACCAAGAATCAATTGAGCTAATAATCGAAGAAGCAGGTTTTTTTGAAGGTTATAAACGTGGAGCACTTGGAAGGAAGGATGACAGAAGTGTTCTGCTGAGGTTGGGCTGAGTGCTATAAAAACCTCACTGGAACAAGACCAGGGAAAACCCAGCAGAGAACGAACCCAGCAGAGAACCCTGCCCCCAGATGTCGGGGCAGGACCAGCTCGGACGAGTCTTCCCATGGAACCCTGACTTTACCGACCAGAAGAGTGAGGCCAGAGAGCCCAGCACTGCTCCTGGTGGTGCCTGAGGGACCGGACTGATGCCTTTGCCACCACCTCTGTGTCTCTGCAGCCATTTCGAACACCCTGAAGCAAAGCGACGCTCTCCACTCTGCCCTGAGAGAGGTGCCCATGGGTAAAGCCGGTGGTGATGGCGGTGGGCCTCTCCTGGGGGGTCTGCTTGGTGGAAGTGGAGGTGGAGGCGGTGGGGGAGGTGGTCTTTTGGGGGGCCTGCTGGG